TTTGTTGGAGGATGTCGAGAACTAAACGAAATTGTCAACGACTTAGATAAGGATAAAATTACTAACTCTACAGCTGATAAAGAAATCAAGTGGCACTTTAATGCTCCGCTAGGATCTCATCTTGGCAGTGTATTTGAAATAATGGTCAAAGCTGTCAAACGTGCAATGACTGGGATACTCAAAAAAGCCGATATTACAGATGAAGAACTCTGTACGCCGTTTACAGGTGCTGAGTGTTTATTGAATTCTCGCCCACTAACATATCAGAAAGCCAATATAAAAGATGATATTCCATTAACTCTAAATCATTTTTTGATTGGGCAAGTTGGTGGATTTGCACCTGACTCAGTTCAATCTAAAGGCTATCATCCTAAAAAGCGCTGGTGTTGAGTGCAAGAACTACTAAGTCATTTTTGGAAACGGTGGATGCGAGAATGGCTTTCATCTTTATCTAAAAGATATAAATGGAATCAGAAAAAACGCAAAATAATTTCTCCAGATACATCTAGAGGACATTGGCCACTTGGTAGAATTGCAGGAGTCATTAATGGTAAGGATGGACGAGTAAGAGTTATGAAAGTCAAAATTAGCGAAAAAGAATTTATACGACCATTTACAAGATTATGTCTTCTTGAGTTTGATAATTAAATGTTTGATAGACTGGAGTCTATCAAAGAGGGGGAGAATGATTGGAAGAAAATTGAATTAGCATAAAAGAAAAACAACATTCCGATACCACGATCGATATAACTAGTAAATAGCGCCAATATGGCTATAACGAACTAAACAACAATTATGTGGCGACTATTTGAACAATAGTGTTTTTTTGTTATTGAACAAAATTTTTGTATAAATAGAGTTTTTGTTGTTGTTGTTTTTCAGATACAAAAATAAAAAGTAATATAGTTAATGTAAAAACGGTTAAGATCTTAAAAATATAAGTTATAATACATATTTGATATTATTTGTGATCGCCATCGGATCAACTCCAACTCCTGCTACATTTTTGCAAATCATTTTGTATTTAGATTTCAAAGCAAGGTCTTTTATTTATATGAGCAGTTTTTATATCTTAAATTTTGTTTGCTTCTAATAAGAAACTTTAACCTAGCATTAACCCAGGCTGGTTTAATTTTTAAAGAGTTTAATGTCTTTTTAATTGGAGTGAAATGATTACATGCCAACTCAGCATAAAAAATAAGTTCATCAAACATTTCTTGTACATTTTTGTTACTAAAGCATTGTATCCAGTCAACATTTGAAATCAGATCAGATATTAGTTCAAAATTGGAATTAGCAAACATAAATCTTTGCTTACTTTTATTGTCACAAATTGCTTTATCAGACAAGATGAAACTGAAACATATTATTAGATGGCCTCTGGTTATGTTTCCCAAAACAAATTTTGAATCTAATTCATTAACACTTGCTGACTGAGTTGTAAAGATTAAAACTAAGGTATTTCCAAGTTGTTCATCTGACAGCTGGAAAGTTAGTATGTTAATATGCTGATAAAGAAAATTATCATTTAAAATATCTTTAAATTTATATTCAATTCCATTCTCATTTAAAATTGCATCAACACAGCCATTTGACTAGTTGATTGATGGGATATTGAAGTCGCCCATGATAAGTAAGTCTTTGAACTTATTTTAGTCTATATATTTGCGTGTAAGGCCGAAAACCACATCAAATTTTGCCATATCCAAAAAATCATTTGGCCTATAGATACATCCTAGTAAATACTCGTCATTATCAAAATAAACAACTGCCCACACTTGTTCTAATTTACAGAGATTTAGAACAGCATCATTTAGTTCATAGGAATCTAATGAGTTTTCTATATATAAACAAACACCACCACCTTTTCGTCCGTCTGATCTGTCTTTTCTATACAGATGGTAACCTTCAATGTTTACAACTGAATCACTTTTAAACCATGTCTCAGTCACAGAAATTATATTTGGTTTGTATTGTTCAATTACCACTTTGAACTCATTTAACTTGTTAACAAGAGAGGTAGCATTTAGGTATAAACATAACAGGTTTTTAATTTTATTGCAATCTGACACTGAATTATGCAGAAATTTATTGATCTGATTTCTTTTTGAATTTGATGATCTTATTGCCACGGATGCCATACCAAAAGGGGTCATTGTCTGTTTTTGCTTGATTCATTTTATTTATTTCAGTTCTGAGGTTGAAGTCTTGGAGTCACTGAGCCTCAGTCAAATCTGGACATAAAGATAAATATCTTTATTTGCGACATTACTTCTCAATTTTTTAGCTGATGCTAATATTGTGTTGCGAAAAATATCCTCAGCTAATTCAACAAGAATTGGACCTGGTTTATTAGTTTTAGATCTCAGCCGTCTGACAAATTTTGGTATTGAGTGAAAAATTTTTATTTACTTTTGATTTGTCTTCTTTTGATTTCATTTTTATGCTATTTTTAGTTGATTCGGCTACTCCATAAATAATGACATTTTTTGCTCTTCTTTTTCTTTCGTTTAACTCATTAATGGCTACATTTTTTACCATCAGCTGTTCTGTAGGCTTCTTTTTTTGTATACCCTGTTTGACAATAAGCGACCAGTCACTGAGAGACTTGCTTGACTCAGCTGCTTTATTTATTTCTGTCTTCAGATTTTTAATGTTTTCATCATTTTCAGTTTTTTTTGTTTCTAATTTTATCATACAATCAAAGAGTTACAAAAAAGCGTTAGAAAACTGGCTACACCAGTTATCAATGTCTTTAGTTGTTTGAGAGTGTGAACCAGCACCCAATTTTGGCCAATTGTCCTTTTTTTTTAATCTAAATTCGTTCCTTAACTGATATTGTCTACTTTCTTGATTAGAGGGCTACCACCCTGAATAACAGTGGATTACCTCTTGTTGTGAGTTTATTATAACTATTACTTATTACACAAATAAAACTGTTAGTTTTTTTGTATTTTTTCCATCATATATATATATATATAAATATATATATATATATATATATATATATATATATATATATATATATATATATATATATATATATATATATATATATATATAAATATATAAATATATATATATAAATATATATATATATATATATATATATATATATATATATATATATTTATATATATATATATATATATATATATATATATATATATATATATATATATATATATATATATATATATATATATATATATATATATATATATATATATATATATATATATGACAATAAAAATAGAAACAATATATCATAAAAAATAGAAAAAGAAAAAAAGATGACAGCTTTTGAAATAGTTTTTTGCATATGAAACTTATTTGTTCTGGTTTTTAAGTTTGTTTTTTTTTTTTTTCAATTTGGAGAAAACCTATTTTTTGTAATTGCTGATTTAGATGTTCTATCTCTATAAAACACTATGCTATTTACAAATTTGCTTTATGATAATCTAGCAGCATGATATTTAACACTACAATTTAAAATTTTCTTACTGTAGATTACTACATTTCCAAAACAATGAATGTAGAAATAGTTTAAACTTTTTGAATAAGTTTTATTGCAACTTTCAACAACTCTATTAAACTAAATCTTATTTTTTATCTGGTTAAACTGAAGTGTTTTAATGAGCTTAATTTTTTATCTGGTTAAACTGAAGTGTTTTAATGAGCTTAATAATTTTATCACAGTAAATTAAGCATAAGCATTAGCTATAAGTAACAAAATAAAAAATATAGACTATTGATATAATCTATTTATAATTAACTAATTATTTTATCAAACTAGTAACTAAAACTAAAAATATTTTAAGTTAACATAGTGTGAAAATTCAGAACAAAAAACACTAATTGTTGATTTTTGTTTATGACCAGCATATGATTTTATGACCAGTTATGATTTTTGTTTATGACCAGCATAACATAGTTATGTAAATAAGTAAAAATTATGTTTATTTTTTTAAAAAATAAACATAATTTTTAATTTTTAAAAGTACTTACATCTAATACAATATATCCAGCACAGTTTTCCAGTTCATTATCTTTTTCAAAACTTTTAAAGAGCATTATTTGAACTTTTAAACTTTATTTAACTTATTTTTATATTTTATATTTATACTTTTAATATTATTTAAAGTTTTAAAAGAGCAAACTCACTACAACATTATAAACTACAAAAACAATTACAACTTTTGCTTTCTGCAGCCTGCATAAAAGGCTGCATGTTTTTATGTTGCGCATGATCAATGTCACAATTTATGATCGCAATTTAACCTTTGAAATGTTTTTGTTACGCAAAATTCTAATTTTTCAAACCATTTATATCCATTAACTATGATAAAACAATAATAATAAACATAATGCATTAGATTTATTTCAGTAAGATAATGCACCTTCATACTAATCACTGACAATCAGAAATTGGATAAATAAAAAATATGGAAGGAAGGGTCCAATATATATACATAGGCGACCTGTTCACAGGGTTTAGCACAATTAAATTTTTTGATGCAATATGTAAAAAGAAAAGTATATAAATGAAGTCAAATGAAAAAACTCTAAAACATCAAGACTCACCGTGATAAATTAGAGTGAAAAAAGTCTAGTATAAAAGGTTCAAACAATACAGTCATAGAAATTAAACACTCTGGAGTCAGAAAAACTTTCTGATATGAATCCAATGTAAGCATTACAAACTCATCAGAGAAACTAGCATTCTACCAAGTGACTCCAGTGATATGAGCCAACTAGTAATATGAAACAAATAAACTTATTTTAAAAAAAAGTTTGAAAAATTTATGAAAACAATAAAAAAAATTGTTTTAAGTTTTTTATTTTAAAACTACACATTACAACCTACTTAAAAAAATCTAAAACAAAAACTTTAAATAACTAAAATTATAAAAATTTAAAAACAAAAAAACTAAAAACCTTACAAAATAAAAAGGGAGAAAATAAAAAAGTTATTAAAGTAAAGAACAAATTGCTCTTACTTTCAAAAATAGGAACTACTCCATTTTGGTAATTTATCAGTATTTTATCAAGAAGCAGAGTAGCTTTTTCCCAATTCATTCCTGGGTTTGTTCTACAGCTAAATTTATTTTGAAAATATATGTTACATTTTACTAAGATGTGATAACGCCTATATTAAATTACAAAAAATATTGAAAAACATCATGATAATGAAACTCCTAGATATCTCCTGGAATCATGATGTTGGTACTACACAGCATACACTAATACCATATTTAATGCTTATTTACATGGTTTTTATATAAAACTAATTTCAAAACTATAATTATATATATATATATATATATATATATATATATATATATATATATATATATATATATATATATATAAATAATTATAAATAAATAAGTAGTTATAAATACATATTATATTTTTTATTTATTTATAAAATCTTATTTATCTCATCAATTTTTTTATAGTAATAATACTTGTAATTAATATTAATATAATTAATAGGTATAATATAACTTTTATATATTAAAAATAGCAACACCATTTATTGGTGATTTATTGGTAAAATTGTTTAGACTTTAAAAACACGAATCTCCACAAAAATGGTTTAAAATTAACTTAATTTTAACTGAGTTGAATTAAATAAACTTAAATTACAATTAAAATCCATCAATATTTTTGTAGAAAAACTACTTAAGTTCTAAACATGAAAATAAAAAGATTTAAAAAATAATAATTTAATTAAGCATAAAAATCTTTAAATAATTTAGTTTGTATTAAAATGAATGAATAAATTATTTTATTTGGTTCTTGTGTATAAAAGTGACAAAAATTTAGCTAACATTTAAATCTTTTAAATCATTTTAAAAAAGAAAAAAAAAGAAAAAATTTAAAATTTTTTCACCAATGCTTTGAACTATTGTTAATTTGATTGATAATATAATATAAACACCAAGCCTTCCCAGGAAAAGTGTGCAGTTTTCTGTCTTGTTTGTCCACAAAAAAGTCTTTCGATTAGAAAAAGTTTTATGTATTAAGCATTTTAATACTTAGCAAAAAAAACAAAGTTTTAAAAACAAAGAAAACAAAACTACCAAAATAATAAATTTAAACAGAAAAACAAAAGAAACAAATAAATTTTAAATGATGCACATCTCCTTCACATTCAGATTTCTTATACCATTTAATCCTCTCAGTGTATTTTCTAAGTAAGGGGTCATCCATACAGCACATTGCTATTTTTTAAACTCCCCCCCCCTTCTTACACTTTGCTATACATTTTTTTGAGTACCCTCTACCTCCCTAAATGTACCTACTACGCTTTTAATCCACCTACGCAACATCTCCTTACTTTTATAATTAACTGATTGCGTTTCCAATTTATATACGCCATTTGCAAACCCCTCTTCCTCTCTGAGCATACCTACTTTATAGACAATCCCTAACAAGCACACACATATATACATAGTTTTTAAGTTTCAATAATGCCATACAGTCTACACATTTTTCATATAGTCATAATCGTTTAATACTACATTTCTATTTCTGCACATTTTTTAACTTTTAGCGCTTTATAATTTTGGATATCTGTTGCTTTTTAACATTCAGTTCAGTGCGCTTAGTTATACCCATCACCTCCTTTTTATTTACTACATTATTGTTGAAATATACCTAAACAATTGTTAATAATAAATCTTTGCTTAAATTTTGTGCTATTAGACATCTGCCAAACACCTTTTAATATTTTTTTGATAACTCTTACTCTAAAATAATTTTTTCCTCCTTCACTGAGACTCCTACGCTGTATTTGTTTTGCTAAAGTAACTGGTTTTTGAATCCGGTTGCAAATGATAAATGTTAATATAACAAGTATATGTATTGCAAAAAAGAACCTTTTGAAATAATAAATTTAATAACAACTACCCTAAAATAATTGTACACAAATCATTTAAATGATTAATTTTTTTCTACTTAAATTTATTATAATTTCCTATTTTATAACAGTTGTAACAATTTCTTGTCCCTCATATATATATACATATGTATGTATATATATATATATATATATATATATATATATATACATATATATATATATATATATATATATATATATATTATATATATATATATATATATATACATGTATATATATATATGTATATATATATATATATATATATATATATATATATATATATATATATATATATATATATATATATATATATATATATATATATATATATATATATAAGCATTCCCAGGAAAGGCGTGCAGTTTTTCGCCTTGTGCGACTACGAAAATGTTTTTCAAGTTAGAGAACATGATCACGGCTGTTTGCGCAAGTTATATTATATGCGTTACTGAAAAATTGTTTTAAATTTATTAACTACTTAAGAAATTAAAGTAAACTTAAATAGAAAACAATAATAATAGTTTAAATAATTTGTGTGTTGTTTTTATTTTTGTTTTTTCTTACTGGTTATTATTATTGGCAACAAAATTCAGTAAGTCAAAGCACGTAAAAAAAAAAAAAAAAAACGGTTTTGAGCATTAAAAAGGATGACTTTCCTATATTTTATGTGTTTTTTCTTTTAAAGAGGAAAGACAAAATATGTATCATCATCTGTTTGAATAATATATTTGTATACTTATAATGTAACAAGTATATATCAAGAGTTAAATTATACGATCGCGATTTTAAACTCTGGTAAAATATTTGGCCTTTAAAATTTTAGTTAATGCAAAGCTGTGTACTTTGTTTACTAAGAGCAAATTATTAAAAGTTTGCTAGCGAGAAAGTTACAAAAAACAATAAACTTAAGACTACAAAAGTAATAACACTTTAGTCACAAACTGCACTATAAAAGTAATAAAACTATAATAGTGTTATTACATTTACAAAGCACTTATTACTTTTAAAGTTTATTCTTTGTTCAAACAACATTATTAATTCCAAACATTAAAGTAGAAAAGCATCTAGAAAAAATAAAGCGGATATTAAAATATTAATAAAAATTTCAGGAACTTTTACAGATCACTTAAAAAACGTTATAAAAGAGTATTTTATAAAAAGTATAGCATTATGAAAAACGTTACATAAAAATGCGCGTTAATTTTAAAATCAACTAATAAAAATTTTTTATTGGTTAATTTTAAAATTAACCCGCATTTTTATGGTCCATTAGTAACATTTTTCATAACGCTAAACTTTTAATACATTACGTTTTTATAAAATTGTTTGTCACTTGCAATTTATATTTTTGCTATCCTCTTAAAAAAAAGTTAAGAAAAGGAAAATCATTCTTTTTATTTGTAGACTTCAAACTGTTTTTTTTTTTTGCTTCGCCTTATCTAATTTTGTTGCTGAATATATTAACTACTCTAAAGAAATAAAAATAAAAACAAAACACAAATTATCTAAATTATTAATTTATTTTTATTTTTTTCTATTTCAATCTCTTTTTATTTTGTTAGTTTTTTTTGTTTTTTTGTTTTTGAAACTTTTTTAGCATTACCACAAAATTTGCAAACAGCCGTGTTCAAGTTGTCTAAAATAATATATTCACGTGGTCACACAAGACGAAAAACCCCACGCCTTTCCTGGGAAAGGCATTTTTAAAAATGTAATATTAAATTTTATTTATTTATTTTTATACATCTTTGCTTCCAACAAGGCTGCAAGCAACCACTATTTAGTGTTGGAAGTTACTGGAAGAAAAAAGATAAAGATTGCAGAACAAGATAACGATTGACAGACAACTTAAAAGATTGCAAATTATATGAATCAGAAAAGCAAGATGAAGGAAGCGATTTCCAAAGAACTGATATTCAAGGAAAAAAACTAGAGGAATAAGAGTTTTTGGAGCACTTAGGGACAGAACAACAGAAAAAGGATGAGACTTAATTGAATGACGAGTAACACAAGAATGAATTTTAGTAGATGGTACAAGAGACGCTAGCTCTTTAGAGCAGTGCCCATTATAGTATTTGTAGAAAAGAGAAAGAGAAGCAAAATTACGACAATGTGATAATGGTTAAAGGTTGGCTGCAAAAGCAGGTCCAACTATGTTTACAATGCGTTTTTGTATCTTGTCTAAGAGAGAAATAACATCGTTAAAAGATCCAGCCCAGATATGGCAACAGTATTCCATACAAGGCCAGATTCGAGATTTATAAAGATAGAGAATAGAATATGGAGTAAGAAAGTGTCGAGCTCAATAAAGATATGCAACTTTAGCAGATGCTAATTTTCCAATCAATTTAAAATTCCAAGAAAGATTGAAAGTAAGAGTTAACCCTAGAAGATGAAGGGTAGAAAATTCATTGTGTACATTACCATTCATAAATATAGGAAAGTCTAAATTATTGCGATAACAATTGGCTGAAAAAAATTAAAGTTTTATTTGAATTAAAGTTCAACAGCCACTGTGAGCCCCATGCTGTAGCAGAAGTGAGATCCTTTTCAAGCTCAAATGCTCCCACCAAGTTCTTTAACAAATTTAAAAATGAATAAAGTAACAAAAAATATAAAACACAAAAAATTCTTATCTCTTGCAAAGATCACCAGACCTACTTACTCTTTGTGAGACTAATTTGAGTTCAGCTGTCTCATCTTGTGATCTTAATTTTGATGGTTATCTTCCTTTAATTCATAAAGACTCCAATAGTCACATGCTTGGCCTGGACATTTACATTCATAAGAACTCACCCATTTGTCAGGAAACTAGGTCTGAATCCACAGACTACTCTTTTATGTGCTTTTGTTTAGCACCACTTCACTCTATTATCTTTCTCTTTACTCTATATTGCTCCCCTTCATCTCAAAACTGTACTCTTCTTGATGTTATTTCTGATCATAATGACCAAGCCCTCTCTCTTTATCCATCAGCCAATATTGTTGTTGTAGGTGATTTTAATGCTCATCACACTGAATGGCTTGGCTTTAGTGTCAGTGACTCTGCAGGCATTAAAACCCACAACGTTTGTCTTTCTCAATCCCTAACTCAAATAGTCAACTTTCCAACTCGCTTTTCAGACAACTCGAATCATTTACCTTCTCTACTCGACTTATGTCTTGTTTCTGATCCTAGTCAGTGCTCAGTTTCTTCACATTCACCGTTAGGTGCCTCTAATTACAGTTTGAACTCTCTAAAACTATTATATCATTCTTCTTTATCATCAGAGTCCCCCTATCATCGTACTTCTTACAACTACCTTAAAGCTGACTGGGACTCTTTCCGTGATCTTTTGTCTTCCTGTTAAAAATGTGCTTCTTCATAAATTCATGGATTCAAGCTGTCATGAAATCCTTTATTCCCTCTTGACGATTCCAGACGAAGCCTCATTCTTCTCCATGGTTTTCCTCACATTGTGCTGCTGTAATTGCCAATCGAAACCATTACTTCCATATCTATCAGCAAAACAATTCTCCAGAAAACAGACGTCTGTTTATTACTGCTAGGAGCCATTGTAAAAAGGTTTTGTCTAACGCCAAAGCCCGCTATTCTCAGATCATGAAATCTTGTATTTCATCACAAAAATTAGGCTCTCGTGACTTCTGGAGAATCTTTAATAGTATCAATAATAAGGGTAAGTCTGTAATTTCACCTTTTTTGTATGGTTCAGACTTAGTCACCTCAGCTAAAGACAAAACTGAATTGTTTGCCAAGATTTTTTCATCAATATCATCTCTTGATTCCACTAGTTGCGTTCTACCTGATATAGCAACCAAACAAGTTGATCCATTGCTCGAATTCCATATCACTCCAGCTTCTGTATCCAAAGTGATTTCCTGCTTAGACTGTTCTACAGCTTGTGGCCTGGACAACATACCTGTTATAGTCTTGCAGAAGTGTTCTCTGGAGCTGTTGTCAATCCTTTCAAAACCATTTAACAAGTGCTTATCAGAAACTTGTTTTCCAGCCTGCTGGAAAGCAGCATCTGTTATCCCTATTTTTAAAAATTCTGGAGAGCAATCCGATTCGTCAAACTACCGTCTCATTAGTCTTCTTCCTATCATAAGCAAGGCTTTTGAATCTCTAATTAACAAACACTTAATCTCTCATCTTGAATCTAACAACTTACTCTCTGATCATCAATATGGATTTCGACCTTCTCGTTCTACCGCTGATTTGCTAACAGTAATAACCAAAAGGTTTTATCGCGCATTAGATAAAGGTGGAGAAGTTAAGGCCATCACTCTTGACATTTCTTAAGCGTTTGATAAAGTTTGGCATGCTGGTCTCCTCCATAAGCTTTCTTCTTATGGTGCATCTGGAAACATCTTTAAGATTATTGAATTCTTCCTTTCCAATCATAGTATAAAAGTCGTCCTTGATAAACAGCACTCTTCTTCTTATTCTGTAACCTCAGGGGTTCCTCAAGGTTCAATCCTTGGCCCTAAACTCTTTTTAATTAACATTAACAATCTTCCAAATATTCCCACATCTAAGGTAGCATTGTTTGCTGATTATACTAATTAAAATCATTTATTTGCTTAACTTTTGATTGTGTAAAATATATACAAAATTCTTATTTAATCATGCAAGAATATATTTAACGAAACTTATTCTGTAAAACATGAATTGCTTATTTTATTCTATTTTTAAAATTAATCAATTATTGGTCAAGATTGCAAAAAAGTGTAGCATTATTGAGTCAATTTTAAAATTGAAATCATTTAATAAATAACTATTTATTGCCATCTTTGGTAGTTTTTTGATTTGTAATTTTAAGAGAATGGTTTTAATGTAAAATACTTGCCAAATAAGACATAAATTAGAAAATATGTATATATATGTATATATATATATATATATATATATATATATATATATATATATATATATATATATATATATATATATATATATATATATATATATATATATCAAGCCTTCCAAGGAAAGGCGTGCAGTTTTTCGTCTTGTATGACCACACGTGAGTATAGACAACTTGAACACAACCGTTCACAAGTTTTATAATAATCAATGCTGAAAAAGTTTCAAAAACAAAAAAAACAAAACTAACAAAATAAAAAGAGATTAAAATAGAAAAAAATAAAAGCACATTAATAGTTTAAATTATTTGTGTACTGTTTTTGTTTTTATTTCTTTAGAGTAGTTGTTATATTCAGCAACAAAATTAGATAAGGCGAAGCAAAAAAAAAACAGTTTGAAGTCTACAAATAAAAAGAATGATTTTCCTTTTCTTAACTTTTTTTTAAGAGGATAGCAAAAATATAAATTGCAAGTGACAAACAATTTTATAAAAACGTAACGTATTAAAAGTTTAGCGTTATGAAAAATGTTACTAATGGACCATAAAAATGCGGGTTAATTTTAAAATTAACCAATAAAAAATTTTTATTAGTTGATTTTAAAATTAACGCGCATTTTTATGTAACGTTTTTCATAATGCTATACTTTTTATAAAATACTCTTTTATAACGTTTTTTAAGTGATCTGTAAAAGTTCCTGAAATTTTTATTAATATTTTAATATCCGCTTTATTTTTTCTAGATGCTTTTCTACTTTAATGTTTGGAATTAATAATGTTGTTTGAACAAAGAATAAACTTTAAAAGTAATAAGTGCTTTGTAAATGTAATAACACTATTATAGTTTTATTACTTTTATAGTGCAGTTTGTGATTAAAGTGTTATTACTTTTGTAGTCTTAAGTTTATTGTTTTTGTTTTGTTTTTTGTAACTTTCTCGCTAGCAAACTTTTAATAATTTGCTCTTAGTAAACAAAGTACACAGCTTTGCATTAACTAAAATTTTAAAGGCCAAATATTTTACCAGAGTTTAAAATCGCGATCGTATAATTTAACTCTTGATATATACTTGTTACATTGTAAGTATACAAATATATTATTCAAACAGATGATGATACATATTTTCTCTTTCCTCTTTAAAAGAAAAAACACATAAAATATAGTAAAGTCATTCTTTTTAATGCTCAAAACCGTTTTTTTTTTTTTTTTTTTTTATGTGCTTATTGAATTTTGTTGCCGATGATAATAACCACTAAGAAAAAATAAAAATAAAAACAACACACAAATTATTTAAACTATTATTATTGTTTTCTATTTCTTTTTTACTGTAATTTCTTATGTAGCTTTTAAATTTAAAACTTTTTAACAGCAACGCCTATAATAATAACTTGCGCAAACAGCACTGATTAAGTTGTCTAAATGAAAAAATATTTTCATGGTCGTACAAAACAAAAAACCACACACCTTTTCTGGGAAAGCTTGTGTGTATATATATATACATATAAATATATATATATATATATATATATATATATATATATATATATATATATATATATATATATATATATATATATATATATATATATATATATATATATATATATATATATATATATATATATATATATATATATATATATATATATATATATATATATATTAAAACTCATATAAAATTAAAACTCATATATAATTAAATATATATTATTAGATTAATAACATTTTTAAAAACAAAACGGAAAATATAAATTTTAAAAAAATTTTTTTGGTTATGATTCTTAATGCATTTTGTAAAATGATAAATTTTTTTTTGATTTTATGAAATAACTTTTTATATAATATATGTTACTTAACTACTGTTTATTAAAAATAAAATACAAAATTACAAAACAATATTTACAAAAAAACTATTTTGTAATTTTATCAAAGAATGTAAAGTTAAAGAAATTTTTTATTAAAATACATAACTTTATAGGGTTAATATACTGCCTTATTTTATAAATCTTGATTTAAGTCTTTTTAAGTGAATAAATAAAACAATGAATAATAAAAAAATTACAAATAAACAATATTAAAAATGCTACCTCACAATAAAGTAGAAGATTATAATCAAAATTTGGACTCTGTAAGCCATTCTATATCAGCTATACTGACAAAATGATGCCTACCTATGAAATAGACAGAGTATTGTCACTTTACTAATATATTAGTAAAACAAATAAACTATAATTCTTTTTATCCATATTTAACTATCTAATAACTTAAAAAAAAAACATGGTTAGCAATTCACATTAACCCTGTTTATAAACCCTTTATAAGAAAAGCTGTTAAGAAGTTGTTTTAAACAAAAAGCTAACTTATACTTTACTCAAGGGCATTATTGAAAAAATGAAAAAAAAGAATTGAAATATTTAGCCACTATAAATTATAAAATTTCAAAGTTAATACTATTTGCAAAAAATTTTAGAACAACTTTTACTTTTGCTCTTTTTGTACCTTTTGTTTACAAGTTTAATTAAATGACTATTAATATTAATGCAACAATTAATGAGAAAGCTAAAGCAATTTAGAAAAGATGCATGCATGCACGAGTATAATAATATATTTTATTATGGCAGCTATTACAAGTTTTCAATTGTTGCTATGAAATTTTTCTAAACACAAAATTTGTTGAGATAATTATATTTATCTTTATTTATTTATTTATAGTTAAAAAAATGATGTAATAAACTGGCATCTAGAGTTTTATTTGTTAAAATATTCTACAAATTACTTAATCCTAAATTACTTAATAAAATACTCCAATCCCAAATATAGTTTATTTTATTTAGGCATATACAACAAATTGTAACGCATTTTTAAAACGTATTTATTAATGTATTTAAAAATATATTTAATGTAGCTATTAATATATTTTTAAAATACAATTACGTCAATAATTACTAATCAGTATTAAATGTTTTCAAAATATATAGTATTATTAGCAATTTGTATATACTACAATAAAATATAAAATATTTAAATAAAAAACAGCAACAACAAAAAAAACTTACATTACGAAATGAAGGAACTATAATTATATCGTTAAATAGATTTGTATGTCATAGAACAATTATTTTTTGATTAAATTAACGAGATTAATTGATTTTATTAATAAGATTTGCGATTGAAGATTCAAATTTTTATTTATTTTCAAAATCTTTAAATAGTACATTTTGATAAAATTTTTAGTGAAACCAGAACTATTTATAAAAAAAAATTTATTTGTTAATTTCCGAGAAACAAATTTTTATCACGAGCAAAGTTTTGATTTTTTTTTTTTTTTTAATAACCTATTTATTCTGACTCGTGTTGTTATCGGACTAATAGTTAATCTACTAAAAGTCGAATGAATCTAATTAAAGTCGAAAATAGTTTAATATAAAAAATCAAATAGTCCATTAAATACGTGATAATTACGGGAATGGGGAATCTGGAAATTTTTGACAATTTTTGACAAGGGGGAGGGGGAGGTCAAGAAAAGTTGACGTTAACAACGTTGCTTTTTTAAATAAATTTAGTTACTTTGTTATTATAAGTCATGCATACTTACTTAGTTACTTTTTTAAATAAATTTAGTTACTTTGTTAATAGTCATGCATACTTACTTAGTTACTAGCCATGCATACTGGCCAAAAAAAAAGGTATCATAAGGTATAAGGTAAACGAGACTATTAACTGTCAAGATCATATGGTCTGCCACTTGTAATTAAAGTTGCTCACTTAGAGAGAAATCTTGGAGTTCTTATCTCAAATGATCTTAATGCTCAAATTTTAGCAACTTTTTATCGACAAAATTTCAGCAACTTTTTAGAAACAAATTTTAGCGGTGAACGCTAAAAGCTTCTTAGAGAGGCTGAAAAAACTTTTCGCAGCCGTAATTTTTCATTGTGTGTAGATGTGTATACCACGTATGTTCGTCCCCACCAAGAGTAAGCTATCCAAGCGTAGTCACCTTTGCAACGGGCAGACATAGAAGCGCTAGAAAAAGTTCAAAATTGTTCTACAAATACCATTTCTGAGATTAAGTATCGTATCGCTGAGCAGCAAGGAGCCATGTTAGGTCTAACGACACTTGAATAAAGAAGAATTAGAGGTGATTTAGGTCTGATGTTTAAGTTCATGCGTGAATTAAATGAAATAAAATTTCACGTATAACTCAATCATCCTTCGTCAATAGTGTCGCAAATAGTAATTGACGCGACTTCCGCCAACATTTTCAAAAATTGACTATATGAACATTTAAATTAGTAAAAAGGAAATAAACTTTCTCCACATATGTTTCCAATATTCTATTATGTTCTTTAAGTATAGTACTTGTGTCGTAGATGTGCACAAGTATCTTAAGACTGTTAGTATAGAGGTGCCTGATGCAGCACATCTTTGTTGGTAATTTATACATTGCGAACATTCATGATTTTTCAAAAGTTTATAAATTTATTACGGATTGTTATAAATATTTGAAATTTTTGACCACTAAAATAAATTAAAACAAACTTAAAAAAAAAATTAGGCAGCGTTTGTATTCTTTTGTTACATACTCACCCAACTTTTAGTATATTAATGACATTTTCTATATTCTACTTTTTTTAAACCGTGTTGTGCTTTAAAAATACCTGACACATACAGACCCGGTGGGAAGTCGGCTAGCGAATAGCTAGCTATAATCGTTACGATAAAGACAGCGATTTGGCCACGAGGATTGCTAGCTTTTTAAAGTTAGCAAAAAGCTATCGATATTTGTAAAGACAAAGACAGCGATTTGGCTACGAGGACAACTAGCTTAATAAGCTAAAGACTCACAGGCTATTGTAGCTACCGTCATATCGTAATAAAATTGCTATCAAAAAAATTTTGGTATGTATCTATCAACCAGCTATAGATTTGTAGATATTTTGTAGCTAGCTAAAAAGCTACGATATGTAGCTAGCGACACATTGCTACAAAATCGCAATGTTTAAAGTTACGATATGTAGCTAGCGACACATTGCTACAAAATCGCAATTATTCTCATAATTAAAATAGATTCAACACTAAAAATCGAATTTTTAAATATGTTAGAGACATTAGTAAAGAATAAAATAAGAAAAAAAAAATCGCTTTAAAATCGCTATAAAGCTAGCTAGTCGCTTGCTAGTCTCTAGCTCATTTCCCACCGGGGAACTAAATAAGCACACGTGAGATGTTTACTCGTAACACTATTATTTTTTCAAAGTTAGTATTAGTTAACCTGATGTAAAAACAAATAAAGATTTATGTTAGTACATAATGCACATTATGTTATTTATATGTTTATACCAGAATGTTTATACCAGGCTCTTATGTTATTTAAATGTTTATACCAGAATGTTTATACCAGGTATAAACATTTGGTGTTAAAATAATGCGACTCTCCAGCTTTATGCACAAATATACTATTATAATATTGAAAATAAGATGTTAGTCGCTCTTAAAAAACTTGAAAATTTTTATAAGTTATAAACTTTGGGTCTTCCGTCTCAAAAGGTTGCTAACCCCTTGTTTATGCAAATTATCAAATGGATTTATTTTGTTATGCTAGACTCTATTAGAATTAGCTTGCTTTCAATGTGGAATTGGATTAGGTCTAAAGTTAAAGTATGGAAGATTGGCACATTCACGTTTTGCAACTGTCATTGTACATAAATTATGATAAAAATGTTATGATAAATATTTAACATTATCTAGTAAATCTGTTGGCGGGCACATTGGTTACAATTATCCCAAATTATCTAAATGCTAACGTTACCCATACAAAAGCAATATACACATTTATATATATATATATATATATATATATATATATATATATATATATATATATATATATATATATATATATATATATATATAGGTAGTTGTTAAGGACAATTTTATGTATATATAATAAATATAATATCATTTTATGATTGTTGGGAAAAATTTTATGTCATATTTTTTAACTTGCTTCACATGTTATGTGAAGCAAGTTATAAAATTTTTAGCCTCCTTCGAAAAATACTTTATTTTGTTAAGTTTTTTTACTATAACTTTAAGTAGCAACTATGATAATTTGTTTTCAAAATTTTCTAAAACTGTTTTATCCTGTTATTTGCTAAGCATATTGATGTTTATATCCGTAGCAAGCTTTGTTTCAGGCTAAACATAACTTGCACCCACATCTCTATAAGGGATGGGCATTTTTTAATATATGTTAGATAGGCCTTACTAATAACTTTAAAATTATATATAAAAAACTTACTAATAACTTTAAAATTATATATAAAAAGACTTGATTAAATATTTGCAGTATTTTACAATTTTTTCTTGATTTAAAGATGTTATTGATTAATGAATTGTAAAAAGTAAAGAAAACTTTTTTGCTAAAATTAAACTATTTAAAAATTTAGTTACCAATAAAAATAAAGAACAAATAGTTTTAAGATCATAAATTTCTTCGCGATCTTTGAATAAGTGCTTTTAATACTTAAGTCTCACTTGCCAGAGTACTTTTGACTTTATAAATCAATTAATTGAAAAATTGTGCTTACTTTTTTCCGTAATTTCAACCAATACTGCCAAGTGGGCGATTTGTGTGTGTGTGTGTTTTATAAGTAGCAAGCAAATTTACTTATTATTATTTTATTGAACATTTAAATCAAATGTGTTTACTAATGTCATTTTTAGATTATTATTATTATCTAACACAACTACTTGTATTATGTACATTTTATAAAGATGATATAACATTTTTATTTTTATACATAAAATTCTTCCTTTACTTTTGAAAAATTTGTATGCAATCAGATGGAACTTTACAAATAAAATGAAGGGGGAAGGAGAGTGAATTTTTAAAAAGTACCGACTGGCTTCTTAAAAAAAAAGAAAAATGTCCTTAAAAACTAAAATTCATCCGACTGAATTGTGTTAAATACCCGATTTCTGGTAAGGCCCAATTTTTTAATTTGCCCCAGGGCTCTTTGTTATCTGCTATGCCACTGCCACACACCCTCCCATAACATCGCCTTTCTTTACACATAATAAGTCTTTGTTTCTTTAAAACACTCTAAAAAAATAATAAAACTTTTTTCTAAAAAAAGTTTTATTCTTTGTATTTTATATTTTACATCGTAGTTGAGAGAAGTAAAAACTAGAAATTTGTTATTCTCAAAAATCTTTTAAAAAAATCTAGAGATGACAAACTTGGATTACCGCATTCATTGGATGGATATAAAGAAGCAAAACGTATTTTTAAGACATTTATGGAAAAGATATTTGGGTTCACAAGGCGTCAATTAAAGATCTTGAAGTTATAGTGGCTACAAACAACACACACATAATCAAATAAGTTTTCGACTTTTACAACAATCTTGCAAGAAAAGTACGAACATTGAAAACAAAGCACAAACTTGAAACTGCTTAATCTTTTTTGTATTCATTAATGGATAAACTTGGACCAGTTCGTAAAATACTTACGCAAAACGATGACGGATAGGAAGAATGGGGACTGGAGCAACTTGTCAAAAAGCTGCAAAAATACATTGAAAGCCATTAAACTTAGCTTTCAACACAAACAATGAACGAATAAAATGCAAGAAAAAAAACGATAATGTACAGTCATAACTGTACGTTAACGTTCTTTTGCTTAAATGCAGTACTTTGATGTTCATAAGACCATACATGTTCTTATGAACATCAAAACACTGCATTCAAGCAACACAATAGTGGCAATTATGAAAAAAATGACAAATTTTGATAAACATGGATATGTTTACTGCGGGTTACAAAATCATAAAATCAAAGATTGCACAAAAGTCCTGAACGTTGCAAGATGCAAGGAGATTTTAACAATCAAAAGATTATTTTACAACTGTATTGGTTATGGACACACAGCAAATTGTCAATTGAGAGAATACAGAAAGTGTAATAAAAAACATCACACATAAATCATTCAAAATACTAATGTTACAATGGATGGTAAAGTTTAAAACAAAAAAGAAACCATGGGAACAATGCTTAACGCGAGTACAACTATCCACTTGATAGTGATTGCAAAAGTAATGGTGAAAAGCGAGAGTAATGTTTGATACGGGTGCGAGAAGTTTGTATATATGTACAAACTTGTTAAGAAAACAAAAGTTAAAACTTACACATAAAAAACATAAATCCATTGCTATATGGAACGGTAAACAAACGTGTAGAAATATATAACGTTACGCTAGAATAAATAACGATACCAGAACTTTGCAAGATTAAATGCGTCAACACGGAAAAGAAAATACTAACTTTTTTATCCGATCCAATGGTCAAACAAGAAAAAATGAAATTTCCAAAATTGAAGAAATTTAAATTCAGTGACGATGAAGGAAGCGATGAATTGTAACCTGTTTACATAATACTCGGTGCTGCTGATTATCAACGAATAAAAACTACTAAACCGGTTATTATTGGAAAAAAAAAACAGATAAAGATCCAGGAGCAGAATTAACTATGTTAGGATGGACTCTTGCTGGGAATGTATACAATTATATGTATACGTCTCCCAACAATATACAAAACAATTTTGCATACAAAACAGTTATTGAAAAGTCCTTCTTATTGATCACTGGTTGTAAGGAGTTCCAGTGAATGTGTTGTCTAGAAGAACTTGGATTATCAGACACAAACAGTGAATAAACGTTCCATCAAAAATTTAGCGAAAATTTAGCTCCAAACCAACAAAGGATATTATGAAACTAAAATGCCTTGGGAAAAGGATTTTGTCTGCCAGACAACAGGGATTTGGCTATTAAACGGTTAAAAACTACAAAAATTCAATTTAAAAAACTAAAAGATTATGGTGACATAATGAGGGAGCAGATCAATTGACGAACATTTAAATCTAATACCAGAATAACATACGGGAGAGATCATTCACTGCATTCCTCATCATGCGGTAATTTAAAAAAATGCCGAGTCAACAAAAACGAGGGTTTTTTATGATTGTTCAGCTCGAAAAGATGCTCAATCATCTTTATTAAACAGTTGCCTGGAAGTGGGACCATCATTGCAGCCACTTATGTTTGACATTCTCATACGAAATTGGATGAATAAATTCTGCGTATTAACCAATATAAAGAAAACGCATTTTTCCAAATTCAAATTCACGAAATAGATTGAGACGCACAGCCATTAATTTAATATAAAGACTTGAAGAAAATGGAATTATTAAAATTATGGTTTACAAGAGTAATTTTTGGCTCCAGTTTAAGTCCATTTATTCTTAATGCTACCATTAAAAAGTATATATCAAATTACAAGGATATCTGTTGAACAATAGTTTTGGCCTTGGAAGATGATTATGTTTATGATCTGCAATCAGGTGGAATGCATCTGTATTAATCACTTAAAAAATACTCTACAGTTGACTATGCTTACTGAAAATTGGATAGAATTGAGAAAGAAATTTGGATAGGATTGAGAAATACCAAACAAACTTTGGGAAGAATAGCAAAAGTGAAAAAAGGCAATAAACAAAAAAGAACTATTTTGATTCCACGGTGTGTTATATCTGGTAGAATTATTTAAGTGATTTTTGAATGCCATGTATGCATTGTAGCCATGTGTACAAGCGTCTACACTGTTATAAGCGACCAAAATGCAAAAACTAGCAGCTTACTTGTAGCAAAAGCACAAATTCCACCAAAGGATATCAGCATTCCAAGTCTGAAGTTGATAGCAGGACATACACAGCAAAAAACATAACGCTAAAATAACGGTTACATAACGGTAATTGAAAATTTTGGCGTTATGTTCACCGTTATGTTAGCGTTATGTTTAGTTTAAAGCTTTATGCCCAAAACTTTTTGTATGATATTTGTAAAGCGTTATGTTTAATCGTTATGTTTACAAAATGGCGCGAATCTAAAGGATTTTTGCAATTAGATTTTTTGTTTATAATGTCTCAACTATTTTGATTTACTTATTTATTTACGTACGGTTTTTACCACTTATTAAGTAACTTAGCTATAAAACAGCATTTTGGTTGTTAATTAATATATATTTATTGTATATTTGGTTCTGAAGCCCATAACTGATTGGTATATTTTGATTCCTCACAATAAATGTCATGGCATCTATTGTTAATATATATATATATATATATATATATATATATATATATATATATATATATATATATATATATATATATATATATATATATATATTATATATATTATATATATATATATATATATATATATATATATTTAATGTATATATATACATATATATATATATATATATATATATATATATATATATATATATATATATATATATATATATATATATATATATATATATATATTATATATATATATATATATATATATATATATATATATATTTAATGTATATATTATATATACATATATATATATATATATATATAATATATATATATATATATATATATATATATATAATATATATATATACATATATATATATATATATATATATATATATATATATATATATATATATATATATATATATATATATATATATATATATATATTATATATATATATATAATATATATATATATATATATATTTAATGTATATATTATATATACATATATATATATATATATATATATGTATATATATAATTATAATATATATAATGTTGTTTTGATGGCTGTTTATTTGTTAGATTTAACGTATCCTTGTTTTGGGCAGCTTCTGGGATGTTTCCAAGATATTTGTGGATTTGGGCAATAAGTTTTATTATTTAAAAAATTCATTTTAGTTCTGCAGTCTTTTCATAGCAATGCAAAGTACTTTTGACTTTATTAATGTTAATTTTTACCAAAGTTAATTTGTTTAAATATTTTCTTGGTTATGAAAAATGATTTAATATAAATATATTAAGGTATTAAACTGCATGAATTTTTTATGTTTAATTAAACTTTTATTATCATAAAAATGTTCAAGGTTAGTTTGAGGAATTATTTGGAAATCGGAAAAATGGAAAAAACATTAAATTTGTTTATGCTGCATTTATACTTCTTGTATTGAAGATGCATACCTAAAAATTTCAAATTTTTAATTCACTGTATATTGTGCCAATTTTCGGTCCGTAAATTGACCAATAAGTTCCCTGAAAAAGTCTTTAATATTTGAAATTATTTTGAAAGAAAAAATTATGTGTTGTTAAGTTGAAATTGTGAAGAAATATTTTTGGTCCATAAAACCTACAGGAGGTATACATTTCAAGAAAATAAAACATTGTCACGCGAGAAGGCTTAGCTCATCTTATATGGAATGACCCTATTATATGCTTATAATATATAAACTTTATACTATAATAGTATGATTATTGTAATATATTATATGATATTTTTATAATAAATTTTTTCTAGTAATATAATATAAATTAGTGTAGTATTATTAAACTAATTAAATTGTGCCAAATAATGTTGTTTAATAATGTTGTTTAATACTTGTGTAATAATGGTGTTTACCTCTTACCATCTGACCTGTTTGTTTATTATTACTGTTTTTAACATTAATTTTGTATTGCAAGTATTAAAAAATGTTAAATATACTATTTGTAAAATTAAAATAGTATAAACTAATAATAACTACTTTACTTATTTCTTCAATAGTTAATAGTTGAAAATAATAAAGGCTGTTGTTGTCAAATTTCTTGGGGAAAGAAAATTGTTATTGCTTGTAATATTGCTGACATTTTAACTAATGGTAAGCATATTTTGTATTGCAATGGTTCACATTCTTTTTTTTTTTCCCATTTAATGTATTAATAATAATTTTTTATTTTATGATTGTGATAATTATTTTTTATTTATAAAATTTTAGTGTGATTCACTACATGAATACTTATGCCAAAGTTTATATGGTCCACAAGTTATCTTTAATAAAACAGAATATGATGTAAGGAGTTGAAGAGGTATCGAAATGGATGTTCAACCCTTGATCAGTACATTTGTTTACTATTTGCTAGATTTAACATATTCTTGTTTTGGGCGGCTTCTGGGATGTTAGCAAGATATTTGAGACTTTTTGCAATTGGCTTTATTATCTAAAAAATGCATTTTTCTTCTGCAATGCAAATTACTTTTGAATTTATAAATTTTAATAAGTTATTTTATTCAATTATTTTGTAAATAATTTATTCAATTATTTTGTAAATAATTTATTCAATTATTTTGTAAATAATTTTCATGATTATTATAAATAGTATAATATAAATATACTATGATATGAAATATATTTTATGTATAATTTTTATTTTCTTATTACAACTTTTATTGACAAAAAAATGTTTTTTTGTAAAGTACTTTGTGCGAATAGTCATGCAGAATTATGCGTTTCTTTAAAAAGATAATTTTCATTTTACATAACGGTAACATAACGGGTAATTACCCGTTATGTTAGGTTTTCAACATAACGGTAACATAACGGGTAATTACCCGTTATATAACGGGAGTTTTCCTCGCACATAACGGTAAATTAGCGTTATGTAACCGTTATGTTTAAGGCAATTTTGCTATGACTAAACATAACGCTAAAACCGTTATGTTATTTTCATACATGTTAAGTATTAAACATAACGGCAATTACCCGTTATGTGCGAGGAAAACTCCCGTTATGTTTTTTAAAAATATAACGGGTATTTTATTTACTGTGTACCGTTGGCAAGTTGATGAGTCACGTTGATAATACATTAACAAGTATAACATTTACAAAGTATATAATTGGGTCGCCATTACTGTGGCACTTTATTAGTTAAAAGAAAAAACAGTTGGTCACAGTTTGTAAGAAACTGTTCGAAATATCTTATTGGATGGCAAAGTGTGTATACGGGTATACTATAATGTATACTATAATATATAAAAAAGAATAATGTGATATAATTGCTATACGTCCCAACAAAAGGAATAAGAGGATTAGATCCGTAGAAGTTGTCAAGCTTGTGATTCATCGGTCCGATATGGTTGAAACACAAGGAAAAGTGGCCAGACTAATTAGTTGAAACGCCATAATGCCATAAACGCCATAAATAATGATTAGTGATAATGCAAAATAATTTGTAGCAACAGGGAGTTAGTTACGTACGCTTATGAGGAACAAAAATCTCGCAAACTATCTAGCAAAGCAGGTCATAAAATTGAAGTTTTATCTATCAAGAACTGCTTGGTGGGGCGGGTTGTTTGAAAGATTAGTTGGAATAATGAAGAAATGTTTATCAAAAACAATTGGAAAGGTTATGCTAAGTTTCAACGAGTTAGAGAAAGTGTTGCTGGAGTGCTCTATGAGCATTAAACTACTTTGTTACCAAGGTGACCAGTTTGATAATCAAGTATTAACATGAAAGCAAAATTAAAGATAAAAATGGAGTCACACATGGTTTTAAAATACTATTGGAAAACGATTATGTGAATGAACAAACTATACAATTGGAGTGCAAACCGGAAACTAATTGTGAGGTTAAAAGCGTAATTGTACAGAAAGAAAGGGTGAAAAGTCAAGCAAATGCAAAAACCTTAAAAAGAGCAATGAGACGGGCTAAATTTGGATACATTTTAAATTATCAATTGCACCGTGTAAGACGAGATGGTTGAATAAAGCCGATGTCTCGGGGAAGGGTGTTGTGAATGACGTCTTTCAAGCTTCTAGAAAACAATTAGCAGTTGTGTTTGAATATTAAAGTTAATTAACTTTTAACGATGTGGTCTTTGGAAATTACACTACCTCATTTACAGTTTGTTTAAAAAGTATTAATACAATATAAGTAGCAAACATGTAAATAGTAATTTGTCACAAAATTGAAAAAAATAATCAATTAAGTAAATAGTTTTGCTTTTATAAATTTCATAATATAACGCAGAGATTTTCATTCAATAGTTTTTTTTAATATATTAAATTGTTATGAATGAAAATCTCTGCGTTATATTAAAAAATTTATAAAAGCGAAACTATTTACTACTACTGATAATTTTTTTTATTTTTGTGACAAAACACTATTTGCATGTTTGCTCCTCATACATGCTGTATATTACGGTTGATATTTGTAAACAATATTTGCAGTCAGTTGGTAATACAATAAATAAATTAACAAGCGGGTGAAGTCAGTCGTGTCTCAGGAAAACTTATAATAATTCCCCACATTGTGAAGCTAATTGGATTTAATTGATGATATCTTATGATGTCTGAATAAGCTTTGAAGTTAATGAAACTTTATAAAGTCAAATATTTGAATAAGTATATTACCAGTTATGTTCCAATCTCCATCTATATAATGAATAAGAAATTGTTTATTGTAAAATAAGTCCGAAGAGCGTAATTTAGCGTTAATTTATTAAAATGAAAATAAACTATTAAATTATTAAAAAGATATATATTTAAAAATAAAAATAAATTAGCTTAAATAAACAAAATGAAAAAATTGATTAACAAAACGTTAAACTTTAAAATGTTTGTAATTATTTACATAGATTTAAGTATTTCTATTTTGAGTCAAACAAAAAATTCAGACATTTTTATCTACTGTTTCTAATGTTTACTCTATTGTAAAACTAAGAGAAATTTTCTATCAAGATATTCCGTGAGATAAAAGCTGATTTTATAAAACTTTTATCACAGAGAAATCTATTTTTCAAATATATTATTGTCATATAGTTTTAAGTGAAGCATATATGCTTCACTTAAAATGTCAAACTATACCCAGTGGGCACCGGACCAAAAAAAGAAGTTTTCTGAACGTTCAAAAGACGTTAAAAAGACGTCCAAAACGTGTATAAGACGTTTAAAAGACGGTTTTTTTACGTCCGTGCCTACTGGGTAGTTTTTACAAGCTTATCTACTCTTTTTGTTCCAAAACAGCATTCAGCCAAATTAAACAAAGACTAACAAAGTTTAAAATGTTGAAAATATAACTATTTTCAGTTTTATTAATACTGTATTAATACAGTTAAAATAAGTAGGATAAAATTAACGGGACAACCAGTCTACATAAGATTAAGAGACACAAATATGCTAGTATTCCTAGTAGTACTAATATATTTGTGTTTCTTAGCCTTATGTAGACTGGTGGTCTCGTAAATCGTCTCCTACATGTATTAATTGAACTAATAATGTTCTAAAAAGTGTTAAAAACTGTTTAAAAAACAATGTACTGCCTTCTTTAAACCTTAAGTTTTTAACACGCTTTCGATTTCAATTTCAAGAATGAAGTGTGATTTCGTCAAAAGATCTTAAATTTGGGCACAGTCGGGTTCATCAAATCACTATATTAGCCTTGCCTGGTATTGTTTTTATTTATCAAGAAGTTACTAGTTAAAATCATCGTGTTATTTATGTTTCGTATTTTTTATTTTATACTTTCGTAAAACTATTTGCTATCCATCCTTCTGAGGAAAACAACTTTTTTGGTTTCTTATTTTCATTGAGCAATAGTTTTAAAAATTATTCATAGATTATCAGTTTGACACTAGATGTATTAGTTGAGTGACCTTTGATTATCTAATATGCACTAATGAAAAATTTTTTTGAGATCTTACATTGGATAAGTCCTTAAATAAAACTATTGTTGATGCAAAAGGTTTAGCTAAAAAATTTGAAGCTAGTTCTAATTTTGAATCAACAATACCACTGTTCCGAGTCAGAAAAAAAAAATAGACAAAATGCTTATCTGAAGCACAAGATAAACCAATCAGTGATCCTAAGCAAATCCTAAACAATTAATCAAGTAATAAAAGCGCTAGATACAAAATTTGAAGAATTTAATTACGATAGTAGCTATTTTTAACCCAGTGGGCATGCGTCGTCCGGGGAATGTCAGTCAGGCGTCTTACGGACTTCTGGACGTCCAACAGACGTTTTACAGACAAGGCGTCACCACAGGGCACTTCTTGTATTGCATATACAATTTAAAGCCTTATTTAAAGAAACTCTATTAAAGCCATTTTTAAAAAAACTCTACTAAAACACTTCTGGGATTTGCAAAACATTTTAACTGATGGCAATTCTGTTGACATACATGGTATAGAATTAGTAGAGGAAATTTCTGCAGTTTCTGCGCTTTTGGAAATAGAAGAAAGCGTAAACAAAGTATTAATTAACAATAACATTAAACTTTGTTTCAAACCTTAGTGTTGCTTTAGGAGTAATGCTTAACAGTGCAAAGAGATAAAAAGAATTTGCAGAACTTAAACTGAGGAAAATAGACAGTATCATGTTAAAAGAAATGTTCATCCACAAAAAAATTTTAAAAATTAATAAATAGTCTAGAAGAAAATCAAGTGGCGACTTAATAATAAGCAGTAATACACATATAAAGTTACTAATAGTGTCTCCTATTCAAGACTAGATAGGATTTACATCGGCAAAAAAAAGAGTATATAGAAATAACATACGAATCAATTGCGCATTTTGATCATATAATCAAAATAATAAAATAAATATAATATTGGTTAGCCTCTAAATTTTACCCTGCTTATTGAATAAATGTTTAACAGTAAGTATTGTATTTCTAAATAAATATTTTATAGCAGTGCTTACATACAATTCTTTTCAAATTGGCAGTGGAGTCGAAATTATTTCATAAATTTGTCAAAAAAGTTATTTCATAAATTTTGTCAAAAAAATTTTTTTTTTGACAAATTTATGAAACGTTCTGTGAAACCTCGCAGAACGTTTCTTAAATTTGTCAAAAAAGAAATTTTTAACTTATCGCGTAATATTTTTTTAAAGAATTCAAAGAGTTTTTCAATAATTTTGCTTTGGAGTTGGAGTCGGAGTTAGAATCAGAGTCAGAGTGTGAGTTGTGCTCAAAATTTTTCAACAACAGGAGTCAGAGTCGGAGTCGTTTTTTTTTACAACTCCTTACCCCCTGAGATTAACCATAAATAATTTTTACAACTCCTTACCCCCTGAGATTAACCATAAATACTAATCTTGGTATCATTTAAATGTATTCAAAATTTAATTTTTTTGAATATTGATAATACAAATATGATAATCAATGCTGAGATAATAACACAGAAAAATATTTTCACATTTTTATCAGTGATGAAGTGAAAAATTTGTCTTAGGTATTCATTATTTTACTTTTTTCCTCTTTTAATCTCATTTTAAGCTTTAAAGTGCTACTATTTTAT